CTGCAAGAGGGAAGCAGCAGGACACAGAAGTACTCTGTGTTCACACAGGAACATGCTCAGGTCAGATGTGGGGGGAGGGGCTGCATGCGCCAGGAGGGACTCCCCAAGGCCCATCTCACAGGGCCCTACATACTCACAGATGGAGGCCAGGTGACGGAGCATTGTGGACGGCTTCCTGGTCGGGAGCAACTTTGTTAGACTGGACACTCAGACCTTCACTTCTGGCAACAAGTTGTTCTTCCCTTTGTACCTACTCCAGCCCCCGAGCCAGCTTGTGCTGAACAGGGAGGAGGACTGGAGGGCGCTGGGGGTGGGTGCTCAGGGACTTCCTTTTCATTTCTTCTCCCCCTCCCCCACTGTGAGGGGAATCACACATTCATTAAACCATGGTCAGTTAATCCAGTTAATCAGATGTGGATGCTTGTTATTTTAAGCTGGTAGGTTTTAAGGTGCATCTCTATACAGCAATAGGTAACTGATTCACAGAGGCCTGGGACAATATTTGTCTTGTTCAATGTCAAGATGCTACCTGGAACATGACAGGGGGCAATAAAAAGTGTGATGATAAATAGAAGAAGGTAGAGTCATTGTGAGCCGATGCTAGTTTGGCAAACCTACCCCGAATGAAATCCCGGTCACTAATTCTGTTCTTGTCACCTCACTTCAGTGACCCAATTTCTCAGTCCCACTGTCAACTTCTATTGTAAACTTTCAGGGACACAGTGAAGCACAGACTTGTTTTACCTCACTGTTTCTGTTTCACTTCCCAGCTGGCTTTCTGGAATGGGGCCACCTCTTCTACTTCCCCATACTGTGTTTTTTTTTTTTTTCTCCCCAACAACAAACTGGTGTTGCTGGATGGTTATTTGTACTTTCTGGGTCACCTGTTGTGTGCACACCAGGAGCTATTTGTTCTACTCTGAAAGGGTAAGAACATTTCCCTCTGCTTTTTTTTTTTTTTTTTAAGATTTAATTATTTATGCTTACAGAACTGGGGTACAGGCCAGAGGTTGGTAAGACAATTCACAGGAGAGTGGGGAGCAGAACAGGCAGACTGCCAAAGTATACTGCTGAGGGGAGTAGTGGGGGGGTCGGGAGAGGTCAGCCACACCACCTTGTGGATCAGCTCCCTGGCCTATAACGGACTCAGTGGCTTTGGAGAGCTTCATAATATGGTGCTTTAACCCATTGTGCCACCAGGGAGAGCCCTTAATCTGCTTAACAGATACAAAATTAAACTGAGCAAGAAGGGTCAAAGGCAAAGGGTGACTTTCAGGAACTGACACTGAATCATAATGAGGCTTATTGAAACAGTCAACAGAGGCTTCTCTTTGCCTAAATATGTCAAGGCTCCAAAGTCATCACAGGCCTCTGCTGTACATAAAATGACACCTGATGTGGGAGGCTGCAGCATCACCACTAGTAGATCTTCTTTGGGGAGTGTTTCTATATGGTGACCATCTGTGTGGGGCGGTTATAAATGACCAATCTTGATATAAGAAGAAACAGACCTTTCATTTACTTTAGCCAATAAGAGTGAAAGTTTTATATGTCACTCCTGGGCATATAAGCTAGTTAATTGTGCCACACATCCCAGTGGTGAAATGGAAGGCCTTTTATAAGAAAAAGTAACTTTTACCTATCTCATGTTCATCAAAATGTTTCAAATAAAAAATTAGAATTGAAATAACTTCATTTTTTTTACCATTCTAAATATTTTAAGTCCTTTATTTTAAAGCAGGAAATAAATGTGCATTTTGTGCCCACTAATAATCTACCATAACCATCAGACACAGTCAAAAATTTATTTATTTAAAACTTGTGTAACTATTTTATTATTAGACAATCATTTAAAATACCCTACTTACAAAAATAAATCAAATAGTTTGTATTTTTCATATGTCAAAGTCTTTGCCTTAGAAAATAGAAAGAACCTCTTATAAATGAAACATTGTTTAAACTGCATCAACTTTAATAACTGCACACTACTTTTATAATTTTTTTACAAACCCAAACTTCTTCACAATGTACAGGTTCACAATAAAAATGTATGCATACAATTATGTACACACATTTTTGCATGGGAATGCTTCTCATTAAATATACATATACAGAACCTAACAGAGACTATCATTGGCTAGAACCACCCCAGAGAGCCAGTTGTGCAATTATACAGAAATAGGTGTAGATGTAGAAGCTAACTTAACATTCATATTAGTACTCCAGTTATCAGTGTGGTGGCATTTTAATGAAGGACACTCAGTTTAACCTTTTTAGATATCAACTTTTAATCTATAACCAAATTATTAGTTCAGCAATTTATTCATTAAAAATATAAAATGAGTTTCAAATATTTTTCAATACATAAAGTTAATCTCAAGATAAACATTGTCATATGTATATATACTATTAATAGAGAGGATAATTAATTTAGAGCAAATGTTCAAAATTAAATATCACTGCCAAATTGGTATGTGGTTATACTCTATTATCATTGGGATATTTGATTCCTTATCAAATAAATAAATGCTGAATTTCTCTTCCATGGTATCTGCACTTATTAAGCCTCTCAACACAGACATGTATAAATCATTGCTCATAATGAAGATTTGTAATGCTTTATCACCCACAGGGTGTCAATCTCACTACATTAACCAGATGTGGAAAAGAATCTCACTTCTGATCAGTTCCTGAATTTCTGTATGTTAATCACAATACAGAACTTTAGATTAGTTTATTATAAATACATATCAATCATTTTAAATTCTACTTATAAATCAGTAAAGTGTTAAGTCACAATTTTTCTATTAATAAAAATGAATCTAGTCTTAAGTTTTTATTCACAAATTACATACTTTAGAAATCAAGTATAATAATTAAAAACTTATGAACAATTGAACTGTGAAAAATACTAATTTACCAAAATTGGTGTTTCTAGTAAATTCTAATAAAAGGGAGCTTGAAGAACTTGTAAAACCCTAATTATAATCAAATATCTGATTATATGGACCAAAATATAATAAATCCCATAATATTTAGAAAATTCTAATTAGCATGCTAAAATACTTTCAAAGGTTTACTTTATTTCACTAAAAATCTTAGGCAAGCAGAAACTACAAGCATAAATGAAAATGAAAACCAACAATACAACTGCTCTGGAAAAAAAAAAGCATCAAAAATCTAAGAGGTAGTTAACAGAAGTAACCCTCATAAAAAAAAAGTTCTTGACAGGTGTTTCCTAATCTCAGGGGCCCAAATCAGTATGAGATTCTTCTTTTCAATGATTAAAAAAAAATTACTGGTAGAGAATCTAAAAACCAAGTATTTAAAAGTATAACACTGTAAGTGAAACAATACTTCTATTTGCAAAGAAAGCCTAAGAATAAATTCTAGACCAGAAGCCTACATCTGTAGGCCAAAGCTGATCTACCACCTGTGTATCCCAAATTTTACTGACCTATAGCCATACTCATTTTGTTTACGTACGTTGTGTATAGCTGCTACTCTCAGACTTATGGAAAAGCCGAGTGCCTGCAACTAATTATACAGTTATTGTTTCCTAAATTACTGTCTCTTTAGAGAAAGTTTGCTGACCCTCAGTCTAGAAATATGCTAATAGGCATGTAGTCTTTGAATAGCACTGGAAAGATTAACTATATAAGTCACAAGATATTCAAATATAAAAAAGCAACATATATGTTCCTTTCAGTTCCTTTTATAATATCTTAAGTAGTCTCAATATTTTTCTTTTTATTTTTGTAGTCTAATATCAAAGAGTAATTCATGTTATATAAATAAAAAATATTTAACATGGAGCTGTCCAATAGAACTTTCTGTAATATGGAAATATCTAAACTGCACTGTCCAGCATTATAGACACTAGTCACATGTTATTACTGAGCATTTGAAATGTGGCAGGCACATCCAAGGAACTGAATTTTCAATTTACGTAATTAAAATTAATATTGTAGTATGGTAGCTATAATAATGGGCAGCAACTTAAGTCAAATAAATTAAAATTTTAAAATGTGACTCTTAAAAATGACCTTAAAAGCTGAAAGCTTACATATTTAAAAATAATGTTTGTGTAGAAATGACTGACTATATAAGGTAAGCCAGAGAGATTCTGTAGTAAACAAAACCAAATAATTCCATATTGCTTATCTCTGCAATGAAGTGACATAACTGTTAGCTTTTATTAGCAGAAGCCCTGATAATTTTAAGCTTAAAAGCAGTATTTGTGACCTTCTTTAATCATTAAAAACTATGTGGACATTTCATACAAAGCCTATTTTTTACTTCCCATCAGAAAGTTACCTCTTATAAAAGAAAGTTCATTCCTATACCATTAAGATTACAACTATGCTATACAGAAGCTGTTATTTTTAGTACTTAATGTATGAAAACTATGATCTCACTTAAATCTGCAAAATCTCCAATTAATCACTATTACTATGGAAAAGTCATTTCAATAGTCAAATCTTTTCAAATACTGAATCTTCTACCAAATAATAAAATATATGCAAATTAATGACAGAATTAGAGGGTAAGAGGAAAACCACTATATAGGTTAAGTAAAAAAATATAACTTTTTGTGTAATTGTCTACATACTTTCCTTAAGTCTATATTTATATGTACCAAAACAGGAAAACAAGTATTAGTATATTTCTAAATTACCACTACTGATTACATGTTGCAAATTAATCAAGTTAATGGTACAACCAAAAACATTAAAATATACAAAGTAAATCTAAAATTATAATACTCTCAAGATAAACATTTGTTTGAGATGTGTGTCTAATTACATCTTCCAGTTATTCAAATGTGCTCCTTTACAGAGATAGTTAATTCTAGATTGTTTTCAAAGTCAGTCGGCAAAATTAATTTTACACATTTTGATTGTAAAATAGCTGATATTCAGCATCGCAAACTTATTTTTCAATCAGGTAATTAGTTGACAGACAAAAAATATTTTAAGGGCACTTCTGTTTAAGCTTTCTTTTGCAGTTTAATCTGATGCTGTAGCAGGAACTTTCACAGAGAGGTTTCTTCTGGTGTTGGTGATGTGCCGTTGTTGTGCTAAGAATGAACGTGCGGGAGTACAAGGCCCAGTGTCTTTGCCAGCACCACTGCCACTCACAAGTCTGGACTCCATGCCCAATTTCTGGAATGCTAGACTCTGAACAAAAGAAAGTAGATGACTATTTAGAGTTTGCAAAGTGCTTTCACATATAAAAAATTACCTTATCCTCAAAACAATACTAAAAAGCTGGAGCTTTCCTGATTTTTTTTTTAAATATTTATTTATTCATACAGAACTGGGGTACAGGTCAGAGATGCGGAGGGTGAGAGGATTCACCAGGGTCAGAGTGGGGAGCAGAACAGGGAGATCGACCAAGTACACTGCTGAGGGGAGCAGCGGGAGGGTCAGGAGGGGTCTACCAGGCCATGTGGTCACCTCCGGGGCAGGCGGGGATCAAACTCATGCGGAAGTGGCTTAAGCTTCTTAGTGCTGTGCTTTAACCCGCTGCGCCACAAGGGAGGGCCGCTTTCCTGATTTTTAAGGAAAAAGTTAGACTTCAGAAACTAACTAGTCTTCACATGATAAGGTAGTGAGGAAGGGGAAACAGGCATAAAACTCTAATTCTTTGTTTTTAAACACTAAATTTGAAATCTTTAAACACTAAATTTGAAAAAAAGTAGTTTAGGGCCCTCCCTGGTGGCGCAGCGGGTTAAAGCACAGCACTAGAAGCTAAAGCCACTGCAACATGAGTTTGATTCCTGTCTGCCTTGGAGGTGACCCACATGGCGCGGCAGACCTCTCTTGACCTGCCCGCTGCTCCCTTCAGCAGTGCACTTCTACGATCTGCCTGTTCTGCTCCCCACTCTGTCTCTGGTGAATCCTCTCACCACCCTGCACCTCTGGCCTGTACACCAGTTTTGTATGCATAAATAAATAAATCTTAAAAAAAAAAAAGAGTTTAAAATAGTGTTCTAGAATTAAGCTTAATTAAAATTATGAAAAATTCTAAAGCAAAATTTTGTGTTGGGTGATCACACCACCTACCCTGGATACAGTACAAAAACAAAAGATTTCTGTCAATGGTTTGGGGCTTGTAGTCCCTGGAGTAACATGAGCACCACTAGGAATTTGTTACAAAAGTAGAAGAGTCTGTAGACTCCACTCTGACTTGGCAAATCAGAAGTTCAGCAGGCGAATCCAACAATTTGTGTTTTAACAAATTGTCTATGGCATAGCAATAGATTAAAATGTGACAAATTAGGCCGCCCCTGGTGGCGCAGCGGGTTAAAGCACAGCACTAGAAGCTAAAGCCACTGCAGCATGAGTTTGATTCCTGCCTGCCTTGGAGGTGACCCACATGGCGCGGCAGACCTCTCTTGACCTGCCCGCTGCTCCCTTCAGCAGTGCACTTCTACGATCTGCCTGTTCTGCTCCCCACTCTGTCTCTGGTGAAGCCTCTTACAGCCCCTGAGCCTCTGGCCTGTACCCCAGTTCTGTATGCACAAATAAATAAATCTTTAAAAAAAAAATGTGACAAATTATTATGGCATGGGGGCTGAATCTTAGCAAGAAAACTAAGTTTCTCTCTCACTAGACCAAATAACACAATTTTAAATGATAAGCATCACAAGTAACTAGAGTGCAAGACGTAGAAAAAAACAGATTCTCAGGAAATAAAGGTTGAAGAAAGTATAAATGTAATATTTAGCTTATGGTATCTCTAATGATTTATGTATCAAATAGGCAGAGATGAATAAAGATCTTAACTTGGATGGCTACCCCACAAGGGAATGTACTGGGAATATCTTACACATAATTTCTTCAAGTCTTGCTAAATGAAAGCAGATTTTACTAAACAGAGAAAGGAAGAAGAGAGCATAGATAAAAAGTATGAAAGAGTAAGGTATGTCTGAGGAAGGATAAGTTTTATGTGGTAAACCACAGGGTTCACAGCTGCAGTGTCTACAAGTCTATGTTCCCTTATACTAAATAAGCAGCAGTCAAGCTACAAAATGGCTGCATTACTATCTATTCTAGATAATAAGAATAACCCCCCAAATTATATAAAATCATGTGACATAGTTCTTGAAAACCTCCCAATGATATTAAGGATAACAAAAAATATGAAATTATTTTAAACTATTTTCTACTTGTTAGAAAAGATATAGGCAACTATTAGAGAGTGATTCCGAGATAAAAAAAAAAAAATGTATCAACACCACAATGAGAGGCTTTAGGGATACTAAATGTTAAGTTCTAAGAGCACCGAATTATACATCACACAAACATCCATATTTCTACAAAAACTTTATGGAGTCCAAACGACATGTTTCAATCTCAAGTCAGGAAACTTAAGACATCTGTGAATTGTTATATGTGTATTTTGCATGTATCAACTAAAATAGATGAATTGCAAAATCAATTTAATGATTCTGAGAACATCAAGTGATAACATTAAACTAAATCATGTCATCAATTTGGTTTATGACCAATGTTCAAATAAAGTAACAGAAAATACCAGTCAGAATAACTTTTGTGCATGTATACATATAAACATGTATATTTACATATTTGTGGTATAAAATATATTTTCTTCTGTGGTTCCTGATCAAAATATTTAATAAACACTGCTTTAGACATCGAACCACTATCTTAATTTCAACTCACCTTATTATACCAAGCAGAAACAATGAGTTTTTCTTCGTAATCACGGAATTTTGCCACTTTACATTCACTCTGGAAGAAAATATAAGGACTATTACATTACAGAAATAACCCAAGTTACCAAAAGGAAATCTCCTTTCATGGATGTTTTATTTATATGTGTTACTAGGAGAATCTGAAAGGTGAGTAAGATAATAATCAAACCAAGTCATCAAATCATGGAGAAATGCATGTACAACTTCAGCAAAAAATAGGCTTCTGACTACTATTTCAGTAATTTTACTGGTAAAACAGATTTTAAAGTATGCAAGATGGTGGTAGAGTGAAGACACAGGGCATGCCTCCTCCAGACACATACAACAACACTGATGCAAAGGCAAAAATCCTTGAGGGAAAAACATCATGAGCATATATGGAATACAAGCTTGAAAAGGATAGGAAGTGAACTATGCTTAGAGTAATAACAGGGCAGTACAGCCAAGCAGAGGGAGGAGAGGCTATGGTACAGATCCCCTACAGCTGTGAGCTGGGCATATACCGATACCAGGGATCCTAAAATCTGACACTGCACTGGATAAGGGGGTGCAAGAGCAAGCATATGGGACAGAGTATGCACTGTGGAAGAGTTACAGAGGTGAGGGCACAGAACAAAGCCTATTGGTTTGACTCTAAGGCTCATAACTCAGACGAGCTGTCTTCTGAATCAGGTTAGAGCACCTGGACCTCCTCACCACTTCATTAGTTCAGGGTGAATTAAATATACAACCACCACTTCCATCCCAGCCTGAAATATCTAAAATGCTTGCTCTCCCCACAATGAAACAATTTACAACAGGAATTAAATAAGATTTCTGCATCTACTAAAGTGATCCTTGGATGCCTATTTCTCCATCCTCTTTTAAAACTATTACCCCTTTCAGTTACCAGTTCCCTGACTACTCCAACAATTATAAAGCAATAGCTGAAAATTTATCCTCACTAAAAACACACACAAAATAGTGAAATGACAGAGGCACATAGTACAAATACCAGAACAACAATGACAGAAAACCCTGAAAGGAGCCCCAACACATTACAGTTGCAGAGCATGAAATAAGGGGAATTCAGTTCTGGCAATACAGATGGATCCTTAAAGCAACCACATTCAGAAATAATGGAATCAAGAAGAACTACATAGTTGATTTAAAAATACAACTGAGGTTCTTTAACACCTGACAAATAGAAGCAATGGAGAGAATTAATGAACTTGAAAATACAATGCTGGAGAACATGACTAGAAAAAACTAAAGAAAAAAAAATAAAGAGCTCTCTCAGAAAACTTTAAGAGAATATCATGGGGATTTCAGAAGAAATAGGGAAGAAAAAAAAATCGTCACTCTTGACTCTTGAAAACTAACCAGAAATTGATATCCAAGAGGCCCAAACTGTTCCAAAAACAAAACTACCACATAGACATTTGCCCAGACAGCATAGCAAAGCTGTGAAGCACCAACAATAGGGACAGAATGCTAAAAATATCACGAGAAAAAAGGGTATAAGAGACACCAGCCAAATTATTAGCAGATTTTTCAAAGAAATAGTACAAGCATGAACGGACTAGAAAGAGATACTCCAATTACAAATTTGGCTGTGAGAAATCAAAGAAATCTCATGTAGTGTTAACAGTTTTCCCCAGGGAGAACTATAGTACAACAAAATAACCAGGATACTGATCCATATGGTAAATATACAGGACATTTGCAACACTAGAAGGAGTCCTCATTTTGTGCTTTTTATAGCCACATCCACTTCTTTCCCATCCTCTCTCACTCTCTCATTAGGCCCTTACAACTGCTAATTCTTCTCACTTTTATAATTTTATCATTTCAAGAATGTTCTCTAAATAGAATCCTTATATAGCATAAAATATTTTAGGGCTGAATTTTTGTTTTAAAATGATACCACTTAAAGATGAGGTATAAGTGGGGCTATATATATATATATATATATTTAATTTTTTTTGCAGTGTATAAAGATAAATATATACAAATCAAAGGCCTATATAATGCAGTTTTAGTAAAGCTTTTGCTCAGAATCCTATCATTAAAGTCACTGTTTTGGCATCACACTTGTTAGGGAACTGTACTGTAAGCATCAACAATGGTATACATTTTCAATGACTTTCACTGGGAAGTGAATAATCTAACTTTGATTTCAGAAATTATTTAGTTCAAACCTATTATTTTACAAAAGAGAACACTGAGGAACCAGGAGGAAGAGGTGATAACTTTAAGATTCAAGTTACTAAAACAGTTGTAACCTCATCTTTAGTTTTTTGTTTATGTAATATATAATGCTGAAAGTCTTGGCCTTTAAGACACTCTGACATCAGGGAAAACAGTGCTATTGTGGGAAGAATTCCTAAGTTCAAAGAACATGTTATCACTATGGCAAGATAACTGTGTAAGAACATCAAGGAATTCATAAAGAGGGAGCAACATTTGAATCATATTAAATTTCTTCAGACTGCCCATTATCCAGTGCTTTTAATTTTTTTTTTTTTTAAGATTTATTTATTTGTGCATACAGAACTGGGGTACAGGCCAGAGGCTCAGGGGCAGTGAAAGGCTTCACCAGAGACAGAGTGGGGAGCAGAACAGGCAGATCGACAAAGGACACTGCTGAGGGAAGCAGCGGGCAGGTCAGGAGAGGTCTGCCGCACCATGTGGTCACCTCCGGGGCATGCGGGAATTGAACTCATGTGGAAGTGGATTTAGATTCTCAGTGCTGTGCTATAACCCGCTGCGCCACCAGGAAGGGCCTATCCAGTGCTTTTAAACAACAGCATACATGACCTGTACACAGCAACAACCCAAAAGCTGGCGAGGGGAGAGTCTCTGTAAGTCTTTAGACAAATATTTCACAACAGTTCATACCTACTGGTTAAGAAATGTTTAGCAAATGTAAACAAGTATGACATATTCTCTGAAATATATCATTTTTTGCTGATTTCTTAAAAATTAACTACCAATTACAGGAATTTCAAGGCCAGTAAATGTGGCTCTGCAATTACAAATACATAACTATGAGGAAATATAGACTGACACCAAGAATAGCATCAGTTATTACCAGGGTCTCAAAAATAGCGGTTTTATAAAAACACTTTCAAAGGAAACTAGAACATGCGCAATAAATAAAATCTAAAATATAAAATTCTATACTGACATAACTGCTCACAAAAAAATGGTAACTAGCACAAAAGTAACTGAAAAGGAAACTTCGTATGTTTGATAATAACCAAAATAGCTATTTTAGTTCAAGGGCTTACTGGGATTACGAAGCACTTACTTCTCCTAAACTGTTTAAGGTTGACTAGGAGAAGATGAGAGATGAAAAAAATGTATCTGGTTAAGCAAGTGCAATAGTTTTTCTAAAAGGTAAGGTTTGTTTTTTTTTCCCTGAATGAAATTTCATCTGCATAATTTTAAAAGGACCATTACAGCAAGACTAGTAGAAACTAATGAATATCCATATTATATATATAGGAATATAGTGCAACAAGGTACATAAACTATATAGTAACCAATCTTGTGGGATAGGGTGCTAGAGTACTAACACACTACATTTTTAATTCTTGTGTTCATTAATGCCAAATATATGACCAGCAGTTAATTACCAGCATTACAAAGAGTAATTATTAGGAAATGAATGAATATAGAAGTTTTACCTCCAGAATTTCAATTCTTCTCTCTTTTTCAGCCAACTGCTTTCTTAGTAGCATTATTTCAGCGGATGCTGGATTTAATTTGGGATCTAATGTTTTTATTACCTATTTAAAGAAAAAATAAATATTTTATGTCCATATTAAGTATTCAAATATAAGAACATAATCTGCAAAATCCGTATAAGTGCAAAATTATACAGAAAGTAATACGGGAGAGACTGCTTTGCAAATCTAATCTATATAAGAAAGATAATAGTCTACAAATGAGAAAAGATATGAAAATTCAGTATGAAAATGAGATGATCCCCATCTCAAAATCAACGCATGGGCACTCTCCAGAGATAACTTGATGACATGTGAAGAAGCAGCAAGCTTCTGTTTTGTTAGCCTTGAGAGACTGGGGTTTACCTGCTGCTATAGATTTTGAACAAAATGTATTATGACAATAAACAAAAAAGGTAGATATATCGACTGCATTTTAAAGATTCATCATAAAATCTTCTTTTATTCAGTAAGTACAAGTGAGATTATCATTCCCTGAGAAAGAATACTTACAATTAATCAGACAATAAAAGATATCCATGCATAGATATTTTTTTAAAAGTATAAAATAAGGAAAAAGAATAAAATTAGTTTGGCAAACTCTAGCAAGGAAAGTTACTGTCAAGTCTATAGTAAGTATTAAAACAATTTCTAATAACTTTGAAAAGCTACAATTTTACAGAATAAATGTTCATTTTAAGCTAAATATCTGATAGGTAATAGTCTTTTTTTTTTTTTTTTTTTGGTGAGGTCACTGCAATTCACATTTACACTGTTCCTACTGAGTCCAGTGTTTGTGTGTTTGTTTTATTGGATGCTGATGAGAAAAGGGGAAAGAGCATGATGACTGACATGGAAACCTAAAACGAAGCTGACCAGCAAGCAAAATAGAAGAGAGCAAAGACACATGATTTTAAAAGAGCAGTCTAGACCCTGCAGCACAGGACTTGAAGAAAAGTAACTCACATTTCTTGCTTTTTCCAAGTACATTTTATATCTTTCTTCCATTGCTTTCATATCTTCATCTTTCTTCTGAAGAGCAGCTTCAAGTTCAGTGATCTTTTGTGCTATTATTGAAAACGATATGGAACATGACCAATTACCACCTACTTAATATACTCCATTCTAACAGAACTTTTTTCTAAAAAATTTTTTAGCTAAAAACTGATACAAGTACTTATTTGTTCTTTGTAGTAAATTCTTACCTAAAATTGTAAAACTACAATTAATATATCCTTGATCATTTTTTTCTTAAAAATATCTGTAACCTGTATTATCTATTTTTTTCCTTTTGAGCACATATTTCGATGAACAACTATACCTAACAATAAAAGCATAGTTGTAACAGAAAATAAAGCATTCTTCCTACAGAACATCTGAAGTTAATTTTAATATTAATTTGAAACATCTTATTTACATTTTCTTAGTATTAATTCTGTTATACTTTACAATGTTTGATACTCCTATATATCAGCTCATTCTATTAGATTCATTTTTATTTCTGCCATAAGAGTAGATCATTCATTAATTACTTAAATCACTAAAAATTACTGTGACTCTTATTTGCCAACAAGATGTCTATACATTTTCCAGAGATTTGCTTTACAGTGTTTGTATCCTTCAACCAAAATAGGCAAATCCTTAGATAAAGACTTACTCAGATTTTTACCTACCATTCTGGTTTATGTCAGGCTGAAGGTCTTCAATCAGCTCTTGTTTTTTCTGTAATTCTTCATGGACTTCTGTTAGTTTTTCCCTACATAGTAGTAGAAAAAGCATGTGCTTTGTAATCAGAAAGACCTGAGAATGAAAATTGGTCTCTGCCACATAACATTGTGGACTGTGGGAAAGTCACTTTCTAAGTTTCCTCCCTTTGAAGTGGGAATAGTACCTGCTAAACTATTGTGAGGATATAAACTGCCTAGCACAGGATGGGGGCCAGAGACACTTTATCCCTTGTGACTGCTGCTTGTTAAGAAAAATTAAAGAAAGTATCTTATAGGCTAGCATTCCATATTAGCCAGTGGTGATAGCTGTCCACTTTGTAAAGGTTTCCAAATGACATAAGCAGTTAAAAAATATAAAAATTTAGGGTCAATTGGCAGTCAACCTGAATTTTCAATATGCTTTCTTTTTAACTTGTGGTGAAAATGGTGAATATTCCATGGTCATCATGGCACTTGCTTTTATTACAAAAAAGAACAAATACAAGATTTATTAACTTTAAAGAGCTTTTAAAACCGTTCCCCTCTCATATTTGAAATATCAGTTTTACTTACATATGAGCTTCCAACTTCTGCTTTAGTTTGCTGGACTATGAAAATTAAAAAGAAAAAATTGCTATAAAATAACTACAGTGACAAAGTTAAACTTCCGACATCAAAATCATCTTAATCCTCTTTTGAAAGTATACTGTTTATTAAAAAAAAAAACCAACATATTTTTAATAACATACATATAAAACATAAAACTTTAGACAATTTTTTTAACCTCAAAGGGAAGGACAGGAAGGGGTAACTAGTAAATCAAATAGATGTATAACAGCAGAAAGAAAACCACCTCATATTTTTAACATAATAAAGTAAAATTTGAACTTGGAGAAAAATAACAAATGCAAGCTGAATGTGATATATTGAGGAGTATCAAACACTGAAATCGCTAAGAATCATTTATCTAAAATGTAAGTTTTAAGATTTTCTACCTCTAATGAAGACAACTAAAATTATATGCATAATAAACTTTATCATAATAAACATATAGTTTAATGTTAACATCAAAATAAAACAATAGATTTTGTTAAAACTTAAAACAAATTTTCCTCTTTAAAACAATAATGTAAAATCGCAATGGTATTTCTGTATCATCTACTGAGTAAAGTTTAAAATAAATAATCTGAAACGTAATTTGGAAACATTAAATATTTGTAAAGATAAATTTTAAATTGTTAAAACACTGTGATCCAGAATGTAATCCCCAAACAGATCCCATGTTAGAAGTATTTCCTAATGTGACTTAAGATAGATTTGTATTACAGAGGTTACAATACCGTATATATGCACATATGAAATGCCGCCAAGCATGAGACGATTTCTATTTTCCAAGCCCCCAGGGAAAAAAGAGAAAATCATATAAAGTATATAAAAGACAGAAAGGAAACGCAACCCTTTCAATCTTCCTTTTTATCTCTCTACTTACTCTCCATAATTTTCTCCCCCATTACTACAAGTGTTAGAATCGCTTAACATTCTACACTGTATCTAACACACACCTAATCCTAGCTTTTTGATTGTTTAAATAAGTCCCTCCCCCCATGATTATGACTTTCCCTTTTGCATATAAGGATCAAACCATAAAAAGATTTGTAGGTATACTTAGATTTAGATTACGTTTGATCTCTTTTAACTACTTTTATCTCTGCCCTTACAATATTTTCCCTTGAAACCACCAGAAATGACAAGGCCATAAGTGAGCAGGAAAGGATGAAAATAACAGGGTGATATCTTAACGACTGCATTAAGGTTTCTGTCCTTAAGAAATTAGTATGGTTCCTTTTTGATACCCTTGCAGAATCATTCTCTCCCTTTTCCAACTAGTAGGTTTCCTCAAATCTAATGGCTTAATCAGTTAGATTGTTAAAAACTCACTAAGGTTTTTGTTGGGGTCCCAACACAACTGTGAAGGCCTCAATTGTAGCATGCTCTCAACTAGGAATTGCCATGAATTTAGGAATATCCGTTGAATTGAAACAGAAAGAAATCACCTTATAGTATAGACAAATCAATTTATAGGCTCCAAATTGGCAAAATCACTGCATCTGTTATGCAGATATATACGGTATTTAAAGACACCCTCTATAAGGGTAGCACTTCCAAATAAAATAATTCATTTGGACATCATAACCCAAGGAGTCTAAACACAACAGAAATAGTGTAATTTCTAAGACTTACACTTTCTCCTTCAGACTTGGATCCTTGTTCCTGTAAAGACCTCTGGAGGTCCTCAATTTGCTGTTGCAATTCTCGAATGCGCTCCTTGCTCAGCCTATTATGAAATGATTCATGTTTATTTACATTAAAAGTCAAAATATTCAATAATCAAGGTACATTTATACAATTTTAATTCATAAAAGATTCTTTTTATAGTAATAACAGATACAGAACAATTATCTGTAGTTCTATGTATAATTTATAGCTAGATTTCTTGCAAGCAAATATTCTAAAAAGGCATTTTATCCTGAAAGCAATGTATCTATTCATATAAAAATTAGAAAACTAGCTCAATTTCCTACAGTTATATTTTCAGTGAGTGCAAATTAAGTTTTCTTTTCCAGTTTTAGATTTCACAGTGTATTGGGAAAGATGATCGCTATATTCTAGCTAATTCTTTATGACTTTTGACTTAAAGGCAAGATTGCAACTAGCAATCAGTGCAAGTTTTTCAACTTGGCAAAATCTCATTCTTTCAAACCATATTTAAGAGTTACTTCCATTGAAAGTTACCAACAAAAGTATGATCTGTCTAGCCATATATATGACACAAAACACCGCTCATTGTAATGAATTGCTACATTTATCACACAATGTAAGAATTATCTACTCATGTCTATCTTTCTATAAAAGCTGAAATTTAATATCCCAGTGCTAATAAATGATATTGAGCTGTATAGTTTAGTGATATTTAATGGTCTCTTTAGAAAATGTTAATTCTTTTAGTCACAGTTGACAAAATAATATACAACCAAGTTTGAGAGAGAAGGTTTCTAAAAAGTACTCTAAAGACAAGTATTTCCCAGTGGTCTCTAATATCCAATAAAGTTTCCTCAAAAAAACCAAAAGTCTTTACTACAAATATGTTCTCTCTAAAAGGTAGATTATCATGTGGTTAACAGGAGACTCAGAATCAATATTAATGGAGGCTTCAAATATAGGATCCAAAATTTATCAGCTGTGTAACATTGAGCAAACTGCTTAAGCTCCTTCTACCTCAGCCTCCCTATCGAACCAAATTAGTAGTGTAGTAATCTTCTTAGAGTTACAGTGAGAACTTTATCAATGAACACCAAATAGGTGCTTAAGAAAGTGCTTGGCACACAGTATGCGCTATATAAATGTGATCTATATTTACTGTTACAATTTTTGGTATCAGATAAGTAGACCATTTACTTTTATACTCATAATCTGTAATTTGCATAACCTGAAAGGTTATGAAAGAAGGTTATGAAGATGGTGAAAGTGATACTTAACCACTTTCAATTTTAAGCTAAGGACATGAATGTCAGCTGAAGTAATATGCCCTGAAACAATTACTAATTTAGTAGAGATGGAATTCAAATTTGATTCCACAATCTATGCCAATCTATGTACCAGACAGGTCATTTACTTATTTATTATATTTTCTGGCCAATTATGAGGCTAGCTACTGAAATTCAAGAACAAACCACCTGGTTACAGACTATACTAAAATTAATGGGTAACAGTGAAGTTGAAAACAAAATTATTTCAAGTTTTATCTGAAAATCCTCATTGTTTTAACTAATGACTTTTTCCACTTTCATAAATCAAGATTTTGTGGTTAGGAAATGAAGTCACCATGATTAAGGAGCCTGTCACCTTTGCTCGGTTTCTAATTCATTCATCTTGCGGTGCTTCTGTTCTAGCTGCTCCTGAAGTTCTTCAATGCGTTCATTTTCAGTACCTTCCTGCTGTAAGCGTAGCATCTTATTTTCATGTTGCAGTCGAATAAACACCTCCCTTATGTTGAAAGAAAAAAACTTCTTAGCTTTTTAAAAATTTTTCTAATGTTTTCCCATTTTTAGCTTTTTCAAAAAGGAAATTCCTGTTTATGCAATAGATATCATTTAACATATCACAAGTTTCTGAAAGTTTGTAAGAAAAAAGCTATGTACATTGTAATACTATGTCTCAAAAATAAGTAGCACATTATTTTTTTATTTAACAAATTTTTTTTTTAAGATTTATTTATTTATTCATTCATATAGAGCTGGGGTACAGGCCAGAGATGCAGAGGGTGAGAGGATTCACCAGAGACAGAGTGGGGAGCAGAACAGGCAGATCTACGAAGTACACTGCTGAGGGGAGCAGTGGGCGGGTCAGGAGAGGGAGCAGTGGGCAAGTCAGGAGAGGTCTGCTGCCCACCATGGGGATCTCCCCTGGGGCAGGCAGGATCGAACTCATGTGGCAGTGGCTTAAGCTTCTTAGTGTAGAGCTTTAACCCACTGTGCCATCAGGGAGGGCCCAGTAGCACATTTTTAATGTACAAGATTGCTGTATGTTATATATATTATTCAAATCCTTAAAAGATAATGTAAATTATTTTCTTTTGAAATTTAGAAGCTGTTCGCTAAAGGTAACAGCATTTCTTAGAAAATATATACATAAGAAAAAAAAAACTGAAGTTTGCTTAAAACTTTTAAATAAACACTCATATGATCTTAACATTTTACTTAGAAAAAATTTTTTTTTCCTGAAGCAATTTCTAGTTTATTAATGAAAGCATAAGTATTCATTTTTCCCAAGTATTCAATAAGACCACCTGTCAAATTAAAAACAAAACAATAAATTCTGCAAAGTGTGATGAAACAATAAAATCATTTAACATAATTGAACATTTCCATTACTTAGAAAAAATTTAATTAAAGCTTTCCAAACATGCTTTTAAAAATGCAATGATACAAATTATAGCCAATAAAGAAGTAATACTCTGTTTTCCTTCACAAAACCATTGCCAAAGGCAACCAGTTTCAATTAATCTCAATTTTTGTTCTGTTTAATAGCGGCACCATCATTTTAAAATACAGGCATATATGGCTGTTTTTAAATTATATTAACATCACTGAATATTAATAACAAGTATAACTCAATTTCCAGTAAAGAAAGTACAGAATATTAACAGTAAATAAAAAAAATGAACAAAGTGAAAATGAACAACTTTATAAACTTTATGTTAAGTGAAAGAAGTCAGAGATAGAAGGTCACATATTACATTATTTCATGTATATGAAGTATCTACAACATGCAACATAACTTGAGACGAAAGTTGTCTAGGGCTGGAATAAGAGGGGTAGAAGGGTTGGGGAATGACTATTAATAGATTCTGTGTTTTCTTTTGGGAGTGATGAAAATATTCTAAAATTAGAGTGTAATGACAGTTGCACAACTTTGTTGTTATTCTAAAAGCCAGTTTGCATTTTTAAATGGGAGAATTATATCTTAGTAAAGCTGCTTATATAAAGAGTAAATAGCTTGAATTATTCAGCTACTACAAAAAAGATAAAAAAATCCATCAAAATGCCAGATACTCAACTGTTCAGTGATAAAAATAGCATTGAAACACAAAGATACAAATTTGGTCAAGAGGGACCACTAAAATATGCATTTTATTTAACTTATGCTTAATTCTCAAGCTGTTATTAATAATGCCTCCCTACTATTATTACTCAGGTGGATCTGACTGTCATGCATTTTTTCCAGTGAGTTTAAGCACAGGGAAATTAAGTTCAGTGTAATGAAGGTTATGTTGTAAAAGCCAGAATATCTTTTTTCACTAGCTTGTAAAATATTACTTTTGATAAATTTTAGAAGTATAACAATACTTTCACAAGTCAATAACAACTTAACTTAGAAAACTTAAGTTTGTGAAGCAAAGTCACTCTGAAATCTGTAACACAGAAAATGAACAGTTTCAAAGACCAAAAATCTACCCAAAAGATCATAACTCTAATACTGACTATGGATTATTAATTAATAAAAACAAATTTACCTATACTCTACTGGCATAATCTCAGCAGCAAGGTTCTCATAACTTTTGGTAGCAGATGCACCTAGACAGCAATAAAAACAGATTATAGTAAAGAAAATCTATCATGAAAAAAAAGAAAACACACAACTTTTCTAATCCAGCAACATTCACCTGTTTGATTTAAGTGATCCTGCTGAACTTGGGAACAACGAAGCTCTTCATTTGTTTCTTTCAGAGTATCACGCTGTTCTATTAGTCTCTAAAACAGAGTTGTTTACAAAAACAATATATTTAATTCTACCCACAGGCAATGCAGTTTATGCTTACAATTATTTATCTTACACTAATTTGATAACTGTTGCTTAATTTAAAATGACACTGTTTTAGTGCTTGGTGGTTAAGTGGTTGCAGTAACCACACAAATGATACTTCTTATATACTTACATAGCTTGTGATTTACCCATTAATTTCTCTTTGAGCCAAATGCATGTAATTAGTAAGAGTGCAAATAATATGCAACAACAAAAAAAGAATAACTAAAAAAGATGGACTTCATAGTAAACAGATCATATGGGCTGACTTCCAGTTTCACTGCTCCTCTTAGCTATATTTCTTGGGCAAGTTATTTGATTCTTTACTTTAGTATCCTTATCACTGAAATGGGAATCCTGACACTTAAACCCTTGCAAAGATACCATGAATAACAAATGAGGTAAAGAATATCACATTTTCTTATAAACATGTAACCAGAATATAAGTGTAGTGTTAAGAGATGTTGGAAGTCTGTTTGCTTAAAAAAACAAACAACAACAACAAAAATACCTACTGTATACTTACAGATGCCTTATTGATCTCTGAATACTAAAAATTATATACAGGTAAACATGAAGACCTCTACAAATGTTCCCTCACAAAAACAGTGCAACATTAGCATATTTTCAAAATAAACTTCTCTAGAACTCTCAAAATTACCCAAAGAGCTGTAACAACCAGAGAGGCAGTTGTTAAAATCTACTAAATCTCAGAAGAGATTTACTCTTTTAATTTGCCTCTTTTAACTCACCTCTGGGGTAGCTTTGAAAACTAGCAGCCTCTCAATATATACTGTAGCTTTGAAAAGCAGCAATCTAGTAGTCATCAGAAAAGGCAGACTGGATATAGAACACAACCTAAAAGCCCCATCCTTAATTGTCACTATTTGACCTGTCTTGCATCTCCCTGGAGAAACTCCATTCAAAGACAATTTTAATTATTTGACCTTATTTCATACTTGCTGCATAAGAAAACCCCTATTCTAAAGGCATTTTGTCCAAAATGGCATATCACTACAATTACAAGAGGCTAGTATCTAGCCCAGGTGAGGCAAATAAGGGTCTGGCCAAACACTTACAAGATCTGAGGTACAATATATTCATAGGTAATTTTTAAATTCTGGCCATTCACGTGTGTCCATAAAAGACCTGCAAGGGATCAATGTCTCAGCTCAGAATAATGGACAGCTCTCTTGACTACCTGTAACTATACAGGTGCATCTATTTTTCTTTCCCTTTTTTTCCTAATAAACCTGTCTGTTTAAAATGTAAGAAAAAATACAAGCTTGATGCCCTGTGCAAGCAAAAAATAAAGAAAATTTAGTTTTAAATTGTCTAAGAAATGAAGGTGTTTTCCAAAATACATACTGAGTTCCCAATAACTACCATGATCTCAATAGTAACTGAATAAAGAATTGAGTGGCTGCATATTACAAATAATGCAGCCTTCACAGAATGAGTTCAAAACTACTGGCATAAAAGAAATAGCAAGAACAATAAAATCTGAGGTTAGGGGAAATTTTATTTATTGCCTGAAACATTATATTTAAATATAAATATCAAAATATAAAACACACACACAAGCAGGACAGTCCATATGTGTGGTGGTGGGGGGCAGGCAAAAGAAATAGTTACATGAGAAATAGTCTATAAGGTTACCAAGTGGCAGGACACATTACATTAAGACTTTATGTGGTATCAGAAAACAAAAGACCCCAAATAACCAAAGAAATTTTGATCAGAAGGGGTAACTGAGACATTGCATGCACTTCTAGACTTCAAATACTTGAAGACTATGAAACAGAATAAAAACAGACACACTGATCAATGGAACTGAAAGCCCAGAAATAAATCCACACTTCTATGGACAGTTACTCTATGACAATGGGTCCAAGAGTATACACTGGAGTATACAATGGAGTCTCTTCAACAAATGTTGAAAGGAAACTGGACAGTCACATGTAAAAGAATGAAATTAGACCACTAATTCACACAATAAACAAAAGTTAACTTAAAATGTATTAAAGACATGGATGCAAAAGCTGAAACCATAAACTAAATAGAAGAAAACATAGGTCAAAAACACTCCATGTCACTGGTTTCAGGGATATCTTTGGGACTCACTCCAACAGCAAGGGGAGCTAAAGCAAAAAAAAAAAAAAAAAGACTACATCAAGCTAAAACATTTCTGCACAGCAAAAGAAACTATCACTAATATGATAATACGCTACTGAATGTGAAAAACATTTGCACATCATACAGTTAACAAGGGGCTAAAAGATATATAAAGAAAACATACAACTCAATAAAAAAATTAAGTAAAAAGCAATTACAGAGTGGTCAGAAGAGCCAAATAGAACTTTCTTCAAATGAGACATACAAAATGGCAACAGGTATATGAAAAATGTTCATCATCACTTATCATCAGGGAAATACAAATCAAAAACAAAATGAGACACCATATCCTACTTGTGAGAATGGCTTCTATCAGAAGCAATAGCACTGGAGAGGATGTGGAGAAAAAGGAGCCCTTGTATTCCCTTGGTGGGAATTTTAGACTGGTTGAGCCCCCATAGAAAACAATGTGAAGGTTTCCCTCAAAATATTAAGAAAAGATCTACCATTTAATCCAGCAATTCCATTTCTAGCTATCGCTCCAAAGAATGCCAAAAACACTAATTTGAAGAGATAGTTGCATTTCTATGTTCACTTAGCACTATTTACAATAAACATGTGCATAATCACCTAAGTGCACAAAGATAGATGAAAGGATTAAGAAGATGTGGTATATAAACAACATGGAATATTAATTAGCTATTAAAAAAAGATGAATTCTTGCCATTCAAGACAACATGGATTGAAATATTACAAAACTTTTTTTTAATACCAACATTTCACTGATGACAGCTAGAATTGACATTACTTCCATTCTTATAGCAAGGATAGAGTGAAAAGCTAACAACAGACATATTACTCATCAGCTATATTTATGATTACCTCTTTTTCTTTAAGTAAAGCTTCATGTTTTTCTTCAAGTCGCTTCATTTCAAATGCTAGTGTGTCTGCCCTTTTGGATTCAGAGGAAAGTTTAATGTGCAGATCCTGAACCTGTTGTGAGAAATAAAAATAAAGTATTGATAGTTCTTCAGAGTATACTACATAAGAAACTGGAAATAAGAATTATAGTAAGATTATAGTCTATTTTTCAGTGTATACAGAAACACCATATAGATAACGTAAAATTTAAATACCCAAGAGATAAATTAGCAAGGAAAAAAAGGCTCTTTTTAGTTATTAAGATTTATTTTACTTATTTATGCATACAAGAGCTGGGGTATAGGCCAGAGATGCAAGCGGGAGAGGAGGTGAGAAAACTCACCAGAGAGAAGAACGGGGAGAACAGGCAGATTGACTGAAATACACTGCTGAGGAGAGCTGTGGGCAAGACAGGAGAGGTCTGCTATGACATGTGGGTTAGCTCCCTGGCAGGGGATCCAACTCCTACTGCAGTGTTTGCCTATAGCTTCATAGTTCTGTGACTTAACCCCTTGTGCCACTGTTGTTTGACAAGGAGCAAAACAGAATACTGAATTTATAATTAGATTCTCAGATACTAAACACAAGTTACTGGAAAGGCTAAAAAGCAGTATGTCCCCAAGCTCAGAAACCAATAAAGAAGCAAAACACCTAGATAATAAAAACTTATTTATCACCCTTCAATTAAAATTACTGACACAAGAAATTTATTGTAAGTTCACAGTTGAATTCACAGGCAATCCTTTTTCAATTCTATACCATTCAAATTTTAATTTGGCTAAAATGTTCAGATATTTTCTTACCTGCCTCTTGTATGTTTCTAATTGTGTACGTGCCGCATTTGCCTTCTTTAGTTCTTCTTCTAAGCTGACTGTGTTATGCATATACATCATATTTGTTTCCTGTAACGTTTTCACCTGCTTGCGAAGGTCACTTAGATCTTGTAGCTTCTGTCGATATATCTCAACTGTTGACTCCAATTTATTTGCTTTATCAGAAGTAGCTCTGTAATTATAAAAATTAAATGTTACAAAGTGAAAACTAGTAAAAGCACGTAGCAATTCTGGGCTGTCTATAAAGTGAACCTTCTAAATATACTAGTTAAAACAAAAACAACTAGTGAAAACAAAAAAAGAAAACCAAAAATCATGAACTTTCTCACATCTTTGGAAATAGACTCAAGCTTGAAACTGCTAAAGTTCAACTTTTTTTTAAGCATCAAAATAGAAATGCTTCAAATCTGACACATTAAATTATCAAACAGCTTTATACATTAGTACAATTTACAATAAAAATATTTTATAAGTACAATTTAACAATTCTAAGTTGTTCTATTCTTTACGGGTCAATTTTGCTTTATGCATAACATTTAGTGCATTTTGTTTTCAGTATCTGATATACTTGAGAAGTTGACTCTACTTATAACATCTAACAGAGCACTTTCCTTTAAAGTTGTACTTACCCAAAAAAATGGACTAGAGTAAAAGTAAATAAGCAAAACAAATCACTTCTCTCTTATATGCAGGCTCAAATTAATGGCTCTAAAGAATGCTTTAAAGGAACATAAAAACTATAGAACAAAATGGCCAAAAAGATGTAACAGAAGCAATACAGAGTACATAGAAGGGCTGTTTGCTTGAGCAACATCTTAGAAGCAGAAATTAAATATAAATTTCACATTGTTAAAGAAAATAAAACAAACAATGAAAATTATTAAGACTCTAATCTCTACCTGTATTATATCAGATGTCAACATTTTTGGCTGTGAAAATATATTTCTTTAAATAAAAATCTCACAAATTAGTGAATATAGAAGGTTAACCTAACCTTCTATATGTATGTAGTAGTAAATCTGTTCACAAAATATTAAGCAAAACGTATCAATATGGGATTACAGGCTCTAACATGAAATTGTCCTAACAAAATAAAATATTATCCTTAGATTGAATTATTATCCACACAAATAAAAGACTTAAGAGTCCAGATAAAGTCTAATCAATACTTGATAAGATTAACTCCATGAAACTTTGATCAATATATGGAATACCAAAATGACTAAGTGATAACTTAGAAGTCACTTATTATAATTTGACATACCATACCTAAGAACATCTATTTCATCTTTTAGGGCTCTTGTTTCTTCAGCAAGACTGGTCAATTCATCATTTCTATGCTGAAATTCAATTAGTTGCTTTTCAAGTTCTTCACAGTGAACGCGATAATCATCTTTTGCAGCTTCAAGCCTTATAGAAAGAAAACAAGAATTTAAAATGTAGTTTCTATTATTAATAGTTTTCTTAGTAAGACTTGTATCTAAAAATATTTTCTTAATTCCACACTCAAAAGAAGAAAGACTAAAAGAATAGCCAAAAAAATCATTTTCTGTTCTTGGTTTTGAAACACATTTAAAAAGAAAATAAATGCTATGAACTTTCATGTTCACTTGTTAAGTAATGTGCACATTATATCTAGCTTTAACAGTATTGTTATTTTCAAAATATGAAAGCATATATACATGTATATATAAAATTATACACAACATATAAAACAAAACAGCAACTTAAGTAGATTATGAAAAATTAAAAATACTTCAAATCCCAAAATGACAATATAGCCCAATGAATTAGAATCCACTTCCTAATGCAATGCATAATCCGGATTAGAATCAGATCCAGCAAAAATAAATAAATAAATAAATAAATAAATAGACAAATAGGACATGAGACAACTGGTGGGATTTAAATATGAGATGTGGACTTCATAATACTATCAATGAAGAATTCCCTAGTTTTAATCTATATAATGTGGTGTCAGAGAAGTCCTTGTTCTTAGAAAATGCATACTGAAGAACAACAGTAAAAGGGCATGCTTCCAAATTACATTCTAATCATTAAAATATATGAAAATCTATATGCACGTGTATAGTTTGACTGTTAAAGGAAAAAATAACTTACATATGAGTCAAAGGTTTAAATAAGTTCTTTGTACTAGCTTTGCAACTTTTTTAATTATTTAAAAAATATATTTAAAAAATTTAACACAACAAAAATTTATATACAGTACAATTAGAATGTCTACTCTCAGGCTTTGGAGTGTGAGACTCAGTGGAAAGAATTGGAGAGATAACCAATGTTAATTAAAGGTAGGGTATATAACTGCTCTTTTTGTTTTTAAACAATACATAAGTTAAAATGAAAAGTAGCTTTTTAGCATATGCTTTACATGTTTGTCATTATCAGGGTCCCTCTCCAAAATAAGAAACTCCTCAAACTCCCCAGGCTCCAATAATGATTCCTAAATTCTTATGGACATGCCTAACCCCTCATTTTTATTTTGCACTGTTTAGTTTTCATATGTACATCCTACTTATCTTACTGGATTATTTATAACTCCTATGAGGTCATTTGGTATTTTCTATAACTTAATCAGTGTCTTAAACATGCTTTACAATGTCTAATAATTATTCATATTATTTTTAGTCACTAATTTAGCAGAACTTTATAGAATGATTTCTATTTTAAAAGTTACCTGTAGTTGGGCCCTCCCTGGTGGCACAGCGGGTTAAAGCACAGCACTAAAAAGCTAAAGCCACTTCTGCATGAGTTCGATCCCGCCTGCCCAGAGGAGATCCACATCCACATGGCAAGGCAGACCTCTCCTGACCACCGCTGCTCCCCTCAGTGGTGTACTTCATAGATCTGCCTGTTCTGCTCCCCTCTCTGTCTCTGGTGAATCCTCTTACCCTCTGCATCTCTGGCCTGTACCCCAGCTCTATATATATGAATAAATAAATAAATCTTAAGAAAAAAAAGTTACCTGTAGTTTTCTTCTTGTAACTGTTCTAGTTGTAACTGTGCATGAAAATACTTTTTTGCAACCATTGTATTTGGATCATCAAAAGATCCATCCAACTGGTCAAGTTTTTCATTCATCATCTCATTCTCAGAAACCAGTGAATTCTTTTCATCCTGAAGTGCAGTCACCTACAAAATGAATACACTAAGGTAACAATAACAAAAAACCTTAGAGTCTAAGTCTGGATTCTAATTCTGGTTAAACAACTAAATAAACTGGTCAATCAGGCTAGACAATGCCTAAGGATTCTCCCAACTTTGGTCTAGGAGGTTAGGTACAAACAAAAGAACTCAAATTAATATATCACATTATTAAAGGAGAAAGCATAACTAAAATATAGTATAAGGAGAATAACTTCAAAAGTTTATTCTTGGTTTAGTTTTAGGATGAATATTTCTAAATCTTTAAAATCTGATGCATCAGCAAATTTTAAAAAAACAATATTCTCCTTTAAGGTATGTAACTTTTAAGAAAGTTGTTTCTTAGTAAACTGTCAAAATGTAGACATATATACATAACGTTATCATTATAGGCTCATAGGAGAAAATCATCAATCACATATGTCTTCAGAAGACAGTAAATTCATTGGGTTAATGAATCATTAACAAAATGCTAAACTAAACTCATTTACAGTGAGCTGTTTATTTAAGATGGATAAAATATGCAAATTTAGAACCATACCAACATTAGCACTGGGTACTAAAAAAATAACATTGTTACTTTACTTAAACATGTATGTAACAAGCATGGTTTGTTCCCTTGATTCTATTTACTTTCTACTTTAAAATATTTACATGTGATTTGATCGCAGTCAGTATGAAAAGATTAATTTCCATCATATAACCGACAAGTTTACTATGAACATTTTCAATAGGTAAAATTAATTCAACCCAGTTCTGTGGCTGTGTCACCTTAATGACACAAATATGAAATAAAAATTAAGTGACTTCATCAGATATAGTACAGGCAAGTAACAAACACTGTCTTCCAAATGAGAAATACTAATGCTGGGTAACTGTCAGTGGCTAAAGGAGAAAACAAATTCTCTCCCTACATTCAATTTAGGTATCTCTCCTTGTCGAGTACGCAACCTAGTGACTATCACTTGTCACACACGATTCTCGGTGATTGATATAGAAAAGAGTGAGCACTTATGCCTTTAAAATCCTTACAATGGAAATATGGACGAACTGGAGGGAATAATGCTAAGTGAAGTGAGGAGAAAGACAAATAACTGATAATTTCACTCAGACAAAACTAAACCAAACAAACCCCAGAAATCTGACTGCAAAGCTGAGTGGTTGTGGGTAAAGGAACCAGTGTTCCTTAGTGGAGGATTACTGATCTCTGATAGTAGGCATGGTATGGTAAACAACATCTGAAAAGGTGTGTTTATTAAATTGAACTGTAAGCCAACATTACCACAACACAAACTTAATACAATTTTTGTATTTGTCCAAGTACAAAGGACTGACTTTTTAAAAATAATACAATAGCTTATTTTTACATCATTTTGTGCCCTTTTTCTATCTCAGTTGTAATCCCTGTGGGTGTCTCATCACCAAATCACCCATGTACCATCACCATAGTCCAGTGTACTTCCAGTGCACCATTTTTGATCCCATTCCCCATTCCACCCCCGTAAAATGTCTCTGGATAGTTGTTCATCATTATTATTATTTTCTCCCCTGGTCCTGTATAAAGGACTGATTTTTAAACATGAAGGTAGAAGCTATGGATAGTGCTATCACTGCACTAAGTATGGGGCCCTGACCAAGCCACTTCGCTTTTCCTGATCTGCAAATCCCAGAGAGTTAGAAATATTACCCAGAACTACCATTCTAGACACTGATTTCCATTAAGCAAGCATTATGCTACCATGACCCTAGTTCTTTCTCCTCATACAATGCAGAGTCCACTACTTATATAGCACATTATTTGAATAAAAAATACAATTTATACATAGTACATAATGAAGGTACACTTAACCTTTTATATGTTCTTTTCAAGACTTAATGCACTTTCACATTCATATTCATATTCCCACAGAAAATAACAGCAGATGTAAAGACATGCATAAGACATATGTGCCAGCCCCTGCTCTTAGTGGTTTGTGTATATTATCACATTTAGTCCTCATAATAACTCTGGAAGATACAGCCTATTATCACATTAATAGTCAAAAGAAAATTGAAGTGTAGAGAAAGTAGTTTATTTGTGTATACAACCAAATAGTGTCAAGTTCAGTTTTGAATACAGGTGGCCTGGTTGACTATCCTCCCCTTTAACCATTAACCATTGCCTCTAATGTCAAATTTATTTGTGAGCATGTATGTGCATGTGGACAGGTCTGTGCACATAAATAAGAATTAGATACCCACATGTCCATATGCACATACATGTTAGCAAAACAAACTTGGCACTCGCATTTTGGGGGCAGTCAAGCACCTCTAAGTACTTCCATAAGTTACCTCACTTAATATTTCACAGACATGGAGTAACTACTTTAATTTCCCCATTTTACAAATGGAAAAAGGTCTATCTGAATAGCTGAAATTATAAAATAAGAAAGTAATTAACTCAATTTCCCACTGAGAGAAACATAATTATAAAATTCATGAATGTATATGTAACCCTGTGGCTAATCCTTTCAATGTTCCGTCCATGAAATGAAATCTGACCTCCAAAACACTTGTCAATTAATAAAATAAAACTTTTGTAAATTTGAAAGGACACTTTTCATACACAAAGATTTTTTTTCCCACACCTGCAGATCTAGTTCTTGGCATCTTTGCCTCAGTTCTTCTTTTTCTGCTACAGATTCCTGAAGTTCTTCCAAGGCCCTTTTAAGCTGAAACACAAAGCATCTGGATTTTTAGTAAATCATGTTCTGACACAAGTTATAAAAGATACTTTCATCACAACACCCATATACAATGTTACTGGAAATGGTTCTTAAATTTTACCTAATAACAACTAAGCCTAAATGTATTGGTTTTTTCCTGTAAAAAAAAAAAAAATATTTGCAGTCCCACTGCCATTTTATTCACAAAAATAAAGCTTTATGTAAATTCTTGTGAAATACTGAAACAAAAAAGTATTAGATGAAATATTTACTTCACTACAGGGAAAAAAATAAGTAACATCATTTTTTAATTTGAATAAAATTTGTATAGAAAATTTTCATTTGAAATGCTTCTTGAGATGCCCAGTGGAAATAATAAAAAGCAGATATCTAAAAGTATAACAGGAATATAAAGAGGCATTTGCCACTCCTCTTTCTCCCCTACAGCCCAGATTGAGTTTTACAACAGAGAGAGCAGTCCTATCCCATGTAAAATTATCATGTCATAGATGCAAGGAAAGAAGTTTGGGTAAAAGGTTTTTGAACTATTTGGTCACTATCAGAAGAAAGGACAAATTGTGACAAAAATCATATTAACATATTATATATATTATAATTTAGCAGAAAACTTTTTGATTATCTACTATTTGTGACATCACATAGAATGAGCCTCATATTTATCACAAGTACTGGAAGGAAAGTAGTTGAGTACTCAACTACTCAAACATGATCATAAACACTGGAGACCAATACTACTTGCATTATTAAGGAAAAATTAATAATATTCAACTGAACTCTCAAGAAAAATGATCAATCTAAATTTCATGAGGAAAATATTCTTGCATATCCTCCTTTAAGTCTTGTGACAGTAATCTGGAAAGGAACTATACCACTATTTTCAACATTTTTCTCACGTACTTGAACACTCACCTGCTGCTCTAATTCTCCAACAGCATCACTTGTAGGCGAGTTCAATATTTCTTTACTCATCAACTACAAAATTAAAATAGTAAAGTACAATAATGTGATGTTTATGCAGTAAAAAAGTATTTATTTGAAATGACAGTAAAATACTTTTTAGTGTTTTCTTGCCTTAATTCAATGACTCTTAGACTATTATTCAAATAAAATTATATAAGAGGTTGGGTCATTAAGATAAATAATACCATGTTCTAGCACTATGTTAATGAGGTCATCTGAAGCATGCTTAAAATAAGTACTTTATATTAAAACAGCTGTATGCTGAAAAGTTACAAGTTCTTTTTCGATTCTTTGGGAGGGGGATGGAGAGAAAGAAACACAACCTAACTGTAAGCAAATCTGTAGCAGAGGGAAAATTCATACAAACACAAAAATACACATCTATGAAATAAACATCTATGAAATTTATATGAAAAATTTTATATAATTTGGTTTAGAATTTTCACACATATGAACATCACATAACTTACCTCTTGAATAGCAGTCATGACCACATGTTGAACAGACTCTTCCAATGTCATTATATTTTTAATATGTTCTATGATTTAAAAAAAAATCATATCTGAAAAAATACTACTTTTGACCTATAGTACTTTTGTCATTCATTTATACGGTAAAAGATTTATTTACCACATATGCCTTATGTGAGCACTTTTTTTTTTCACTAGAAATAGACTCCATTAAAATTGCATAATTGAAAAGACTTACATAAATATTTAACTGTTATTTTTCCTAAAGAAAACCTCTATTTTCTTATAAAGAAAAGCTGCAATTAATCTTAAAATAATTATGACAATTTCTTTCCTGTGGATGTATCCCCATGAATTAAGTAAACTACTAAAATCTTAAGTACAGAATTTCATTTTTTTACTTAGTTCATTTCATGGAAATTTTAAAAAAAGTTCTCCTGTAAATACCTGCTGAAAATTTACCAAGTCCACCTCAAGTAGATTCTCACACCTTGCCACAAACTCACATGCAATATGCTAGGCTGTTTTTGTCCCAATAAAAAATAAGGGTTATTCAGTGATTAAAAAAGAAAAGAAAAGAAAAAATACTGTCATTTGTAATAATGAAGATGGACCTCGAGGGCATTATGCTATGTGAAATAAGTCAAACAAAGACAAATACTGGTGGGATCTCACTTATATGCAGAATCTAAAACAAAACATAAAAATAAATCAAACTCAGAAAAATAAGTCAGATGAAGGGTTAGCAGAGGTGAGAGTCATGGAATGGAGGAAGGTGGTCAAAAGTACAAATTTCCAGTTGTAAGATAAGTAAATAGTAAGGAGTTAATGTATGTCATCATGACTAGGTTAACAGAGCTGGCTATATGGTGGTACACAGAAAAATGTTATGAGAGCAGATCCTAAGAGTTCTTACCAAAAGGAGAAAATAATGGTTTTCTTATTATTTTTGATCAATATTAGATAGGAGATCTTAACTAAACCTACTGAGGCAGTCATTTTAAGGTAATATGTATACTTTAAACTTTAATTTTATACAGTGATACATATCAGCAATATCTCAATAAAACTAGGAAGATTTTTAAAGGAAAATGAAGAACCATAAAGGAGAGCCTTTCATATATTTGCACATTTAATCCACTTCAATGGTATCTACTCTACAGCTGAAACAATTTTCCAAAATTTTTAAGGACTCATTCTTTTAAGAAAACTTAATGTTTCCTTCTGTACAATTTTAGAATTTCTGTAAAGTTTTTTTTTTATCATGAAGTCAAGAACTTGACAAAGATAGTGAAAGATGCTGGACTGCATTGATGACTAAGTGCTATGGTGGTGAAGAAGGAGGAATAACAAAAAGAGAATGCACAACCACTGGAATTATTTCCAGAAAATGGGTTTTCTGGATAATGGAAGGCTTTTAGTCCACGAAAGCACTATAAAAGTTATCTTTCCACTGAAAATAACAGGGTACTACTAACCACATCAGTTTCCTCTTCCAAGAATGAGATGTTGCAAAATCTGGGATTACTTAGAAAATCAATTTTCACTCTAAAATGTAAGGTATTTTATATTTTCTTTTTTTTTAAATTTATTTATTTATGCATACACAGCTGGGGTACAGGTCAGAGGTACAGAGCTGTGAAAGGATTCACCAGAGACAGAGTGGGGAGCAGAACAGGCAGATCGATGAAGGGGAGCACCAAGTGGGTCAGGAGAGGTCTGCTGCACCATGTAGGTCACCTCTGGGGCCCGGATAAACTCATGCTGAAGTGGCTTTAGCTTCTTAGTGCTGTGCTATAATCTGCTGCACCACAAGGGAGGGCCCCTGTATTTTCTTTTAAAACTTTAGTAAGTTTTTTCATTTGTATCTGCTCATTCCCCTAAAAAAATCTAATGTCTTATCACCCAGACTGATAAAAGACTGAAGAAAGTCATCAATTTATTCATTATATATAAGCAAAAACCATGTATTTATATTCATGAATCACCTATGTTTGTAATGGAAATATCAACAGAAAATACCAACTTCCATTTTTATCACCAGATTGCATATCTGAATGCAATGCAATCTTCTGGAAGCAGAAGGATATAATTTCAAGGAGCCTAGATTATAATTTACTATTTGCATATTTCTTTATGAAAATCTGAATGATTTTAAGTTTCTGAAACTTAAATCTGAAAGATAATATATTGGTGGTTAAGTACATTTTTTAAAAATATACACTAAGTTTTAAGCACCAAATATATTTAACTAATTAAATTGAAATATATTTAGGAATTTAGCACTGAATATGAATCACAGAATCCTGGTTCAAAACGGATAATCAACATTTGCAGCTTTTTAATGTAGAGCTAAGTTAAAATTCAGACCCTCTGACATATACTTCAGGGTGCTTTCAGCCAAACTTAACATTTTATACTATTTCCTATGACAAAAATAGGTTATTTCTACTACATATTGCCAAATGACGAACATTACTTACCTTGTTTCTTTTCACAGTTGACTGCACAACCTAAAATAAGTTGGAGCAACCTCCCAAGCTCCACAGAATCTGAACATTCAGTTATTTGGTTTAAATCAGGAATAAGTTCTTCGGAAATCTGTTGTCCTAAAAACTGCAATATCAAAACAATAAATTAGATCACTCATTTATGTAGGTAACAGAATTTACTCCATTTAATTAAAAGGAAAATAAATTATAAGTTTGTGAAAGTTATATAAATTAAATGATATATGTATAATTATTAACTACTGATTAAAACCAGTTAGCAAAATTAAAGCAATCTCCTAAAATTTTAAGTAACCTTACAGAAATAATTACAATGGTTCACACCAAATATCCTTAGATCCTACATTATAAAGAGCGAGTTTTTTTAAGAAACCCCTGTACTGATCTATTATGAAAAAACTTAAGTATTTTAGGCTTCTTTTTTCTCTAGGTTGTTTCTATGGCATTCACAATATATTGATACTGACCATTTAATAGAGAACCACATTATTAGCCATCACACTCTCATGAATGAGCAAATAAACAAACGGAGTAATCATTCATGACCTTCTCTCTATTTTTTGAGCTTACTAAAAATTTTTTATGGCATCAATAAAGTTTCAAAATGAGTGTTAAGCATTAGTAATTTGAACATTTTTAGTATAAAAATTATTTGGAAAAACTCCAATTTTAATGTTATGACAATTTACAAAAAACAGAAACAAAATACTTTATTGGCAAACACTTGCAAGCATTATGTGATAAACTTTTATGTATCAGGAAATACTACCAGAGAACTTTCTACAATCATGAATAAGGAAAAAAAGCTCTTTGAATAAATGTCTCATCTAATCTGACTTTAATATTTGTTTCACTCTGCATTTATCCCCAATTCACTTGCACAAGCATTATTTCATAGTTTACATCTTTGCTGTTGTTTCCATTAGAAATAAATGTCAAATTAATGTTTTCAAAGGGTGAGAATTCAATTTACTTAAAAGTTTACTTTACAGGATTGCATAAAGTTAAAACACACAAACATTGAGGTTAACTATTTAAGAATATAATCAATTTAAGAATTATTAGTATGGAATCAGCTTTATTTTTTTTATAAATTAACATGTTAAGTAGGAGCCCATTTATGTTCATAAAACTTGAATGTTATAAAAATGATTTAAAAAGTACATTTAAGGTAAAAGTTACATTCTAGTAAAATGCTACAAATAAAAGGCCAAACTATTTTGCAGTGTCCATTATAGCATTTTGCATGTAAACAGGTTGTATGTTTTTCATACCTCATTATAATATTTCATAATTCCTTGAAGTACCTTCTTTAAATTACTAGCCTAGTGGAAAAAAACAAGAATTAAAATTATTTCATTTTAATGATAAAATAAAACATACACCAAGGTGAAGACAATAAAAACTTCCCCTTAATAAAAACAAAACAAAAATTTATATGATAAAATTCTACAAATGCAAGTACCTGATATTCTTTAAATAGCAAAGTTTAAAAGTTTGCTTAGAAGGAAAAATTCTTCATGTTTATATAGTTTAGGTGGGGTGTTTCTATTTAAAGTGAACTACAATATTCAAGTCGCAACTTTAAAGATGTAGCTTTGAACATGCCTTCCTCCAGTCATGAATAAATAAATGGGTCTAGGCTTACTCACCTGTTACAACTACAACTACAGGACTAATACATATACAGTAACTTTCAAGCTTTAGCAATAGACAGTACAGAATTCTGATATTTAAGAGAACAAAAACAAAAAAGATGAGCACTACTCTAGTTCAAGATTTCTCTCTGGAGGCAACTTTCACACCACAGCATAGGAAGGTGGAAACCAAGCAAAGCCTGATCTTGTTGAATAAAGAAATAGACATCAGAAATTCAGGAAGGACAAAGTATAGCGGTTTGCAAGGCAGACAGAAAAAGAGGTGAATATTACACAAAGAGAAAAAAAAGCTCCAGAAATCTGCACAGTGGTTCCTTTGAATATTTACCTGAATATTAACATACAAATATAGAAATGACACATCCTGAGGTAAAAAAGAAAAAATTTATATCCAAGGAAAAAACAATCCAGGGAATCATGAACTGACAAATTCCTGAAGATTACATGGGGTTAGAGATTGTTAAAACTCTCACCAGCCCAAAGTGAAATAAAGCATTCACTAAAGACCCCAAAATGCTCACAACTTACCAATGCATGTAACATAGATCAGGAGGAAAAACTAGATCAGTATTCCACCGCTAATAACACTGTTAAGCCCAAAATGATTCATAAGTATCCTGAGTTCAACACTCTTTGAAGGATACAAAAGCCAGGGAAACAACACTGAAATGCACAGTCTCACAGTGGCTACAAATGCGAAAATGTGGACCACCAATTTGGTAGCTTCTTATAAAGTTAAATACCCACTTAAATAAAACAGCAACTACACTCAGGAACATATCCAAGGAAACACAGTAGCTAAAAATAGTAACAGTTCAAACATCCATGAATTATTTAACGACTAAGCAAACCATTATATAAGTATACTACCAAGCAGAAAAAGAAATACTACTAATACCATGGATGAGTCTCATAAACGTTACACTAGTGGAAGATGCTAGACACAGAGCACCAAATAACACATAATATCTGATTCCATTTAATTTGGAACTCAGCAAATGAAATCCATTGTGAAAGAAAGCAGACACACAGCCTCTGAATGTCATGCTAGGAAAGGGTACTTAAGTGCATCTTTTGGATTAGAGGAGGAAATGTCCTACAGCTAACTATGCTGGTAGTCACATAAAAATACATTTATGTTGAAATTAAATTGTACACAATAAAATGTATTCCCAAGTTAATTAAAAAAAAAGAATTATTTGAACTTGGTGTTAATTTTAGAACTATTATTGACATCAAGTGCTTCTAACATTCGTTCTGCATACCTTTATTCTCCAGTTGTCACCAGTATCTTCTTTAATTCGACTTAACCAAGATTCATCGAAACAAGCTACGTCTCTAAAATAAAAATGCAAATGTGAAAAATACCAAGATATTATTTTATATCTTAACTTCTATCCTTAATAACATTAGTAAACATTATTTAAATTACCCCAATGAATTTTTTGTGATTCCTAAGAATTTCTTTTGAAATTTCTCATAATAAATTAGTTAGGTACTTAACATCTTCAATTTAACAAACATTTACTAAATGTCTCATATAGGCACCCAGTTAGCAAAAAGATGAAAAAGTCACAATTTTAAATAGGGGTGGAAATTAGCACTTTAATATGTTTACTATGTATTAAGCACTGTGCCTACTGCTTTCCATATGCCTTCATTTAAATATTAGAGTAACCAGGCAAGTATCTATTATGGTCACTTACGCAATAGGAAACTGAAGATGAGAGAAGCTAAGCAACTGCCCCAAGTGACATTAGTACAAGGCCAGGTCCAAAATAAATTTATTTCATTGTAATTGAGAAAAATGAGTATGAGAAACATACAAGAACAATGTTTGTTTTAAACTTATAAAATATAATATTGATACTTAAGTCCAAGATAAAAGAATTGGTAATTATATGTATTTATTAAGGTCTTGAAGAACAGTGGACTATAAACAGTGTTAAAAGCTAACTAGTTTTTATTCTTCAAATATGTGTATGCCCACTGAGTGAAGAATTAAGCAAGGTATTTTTTTTTGAGATTTATTTTATTTATTTATGTACACAAGACCTGGGGTGCAGGCAACCAGAGACGGGGGAGGGAGGGCACAGGGGTGAGAGGATTCACCAGAGACAGAGGGAGCAGAACCAGCAGATCTACTGAAATACACTGCTGAGGGGAGAAGCAGACAAGACTGGAGAGGTCTGCTGTGCCATGTGGGTCACCCCCCTGAGGATCACTCCTGCTGCAGTGGCTGTGGACACCTTCATAGTGTGGAGATACTTGATACCACCAGGGAAGGCCAGAGCTCTTGAGCAAGATATTTGAAGAAAAATCATTTACTACTCTGACTTTCAGAGAAACAGCTATTAAAGGCGGTCTAGAGCATAAATAAAGGTGTGCAAAGGGAAAGGTGGTAAATAAGGGATAAGGAAACACCAGATATTAGTGCTAGAAGAGGTCTTAAAGGTCTCATCTAAAAAATACTTTTTTTTTATTTTAAAAATAAGTCAACTAAAGTGAAGGATTAAACTAAAAGGAGTTATTTTCCAAGGCTATATCTTGAATTTAAAAATACAAAGCTGAAACTAGAATATCACACCTGGCTTTTCAGAAATCATTCTGTCTCAAATGTGCTAACATAAAAGATGTAACACTTCACTATTACAAAACATGGGTTCACCATTTTCATCATTTTTAATTAACCTATTTGAAATATATAATAATTTCTTTTGAACAAATTGTTTACTCATTCAAATGAATGAGTAAACAAGTGATTAATACTTAAGGTCTCTGGAATTCTACATTGTCTCTCTTAATGTTCTTATAAATACATCTAGTTAAAGACAAGAAGAGAAGTTATCCAGGCTTAAGCTAACAAAAATAAGATTCTTGTTGAAGAAAACATCATGCAACATTTATAGCTGTAGTGAGTTGAACAGCCTCCCAAGCAAAAAGTAGGCTTATAACCTAGTCCAGGGTACCTGTAAATGTGACCTTATTTGAAAAGCATCTCTGCATATGTAGTTAAGATGAGGTCATACTAAGTTAGGGTGGGTCTTAACACAACATAACTGGCGTTCGATGAAGGAGAAGAGGTAGAGAAGGAAGACAATCACATAATGACAGAAACAAGAAATTGGGGTTATGCTTTTACAAGCCAAGGGATGCCTGATGTTAGCAGAAGCTGAAAGAATTAAGGAAGCACCTTCATCTAGAAGTTTCAGAGGAAATATAACCCAACCCATACCTTCTCATAGTTTGAGCCTCCAGAACTATGAGAAATTACATTTTTGTTATTTTAAGCCATGTAATTTGTGGTACATTGTTAGAGAAACACTACCAAAATAATATAGCTACAGTATAGTTTTTGCCCCATGTGTTTTATAAATATCACTGGCTCCTACATACTTTTTTAAAAAGAAAGACACATATTATGTATTCAAACTAATGATAGTAATTATGGAACTATGAAACTCTAGCAATAAATTCCATGGCCTACCTTGCATGAATCAAATCATATGAGCATTAATGTTTAAGATAGCATTATCTAGAAGCATGCTTGCCTCAGATAAATAATGAATTTTTTATTCATTAAGTTTTTATACTTTCTCCAAAAGCAAATGTCCCCTTTACATCTTCAATAATAACAATGATGTGATTTAATATGTGTCATAATAGCTATTAATGCATATATAAATGCACGTATATTTATGCACATATATGTATATATGCACACGCATTTTTATCTATACATTTAAAGTGTTCAGAGTGTACTTGAAGTGTTCAAAGAAATAAAGGTAATATATGCCCTTTTAGCAGGAATATCATACACTGGCCCAACCTAAGGAAAACGTGTGCTATGTTTCACTATTTAGATTCAGACTTCTGAAAAGCTACAAAATTAAAAGGGTTCAAATAAATATAAATGGCTCTTAGGTAACAAGGAAGTTTAGATATTAGAGAAAATATGCAAATGTGGTCAAAAGGAGCCAAAAAAGAGAGTAAGGTCCTTTTTATATCACTGTGCTTTGTTTTATGTAGAAACAGAAGTTTCTGACTGGCCATTTCACTATTTTACTATAACAGCAGAAAAGCTATTAAATAATGAAATAATATAAAAAAAGAAAGAAAAGCCAGAGAGAAAAGATCAGCAATAATAGCAGAATCCAGAGCTTAAAGAAAATGAGTTGACAGTGGATATATCTACTTTTCTAAACATCTAACCAGGAAACCACAGAAATGGTGCTAGAGAGTTATAGGCATCATGTCACGGGTCAGAGTTACAGGCATCATGTCATGGTTAAAACAGTTCTCTTTTACTGTTATAAAAACACCACAAACAAATGATAATTTCGAGTGACACTCTTGGGATTGGGTTTGCAGTTCCTTCACTGAAAGTTTGGGCGACTTACATTTTATTTAGAACTTGTGCCATGGCAACTCCATTAGTCAGCTGTTTGACATCTTGACAAGGTGCAGCAGTATTGAATGTCTGCAGCTAAAACAATATAAAGAAAATAACTTCACTACCCCTTTATACCTACAGTGTATCATTGCAAATACACACATATACACACATATAATAGAGATAGACTACAGACAGATAGCTGACATAACATCTCATACCACTTGGTAGGAAACCAAGGATTACAAATATCAGTTTAAAATTAGTTTAAAGACAAACTCTAAATTAATATAGGACCTCTGAATTCTATTCAACAACTCCCCTAGGGGAATGAACAGTTTAGGAGCTCACCCACCATGTCAATGTTTTTGTATCTAGGTTGATTTTAGATATTAATAACTTGTCAAATCTCTTTTAAACATCTGTGTACATATTAAGGGCAGACATGAAATGATAACATCTTCTAATAAGCAAATACAAGGAAAAAATTATAAGCAAGTTTAAACAGCTAGAATAAATCTTAAAATAAAAATAATCTTAAGCCCTAAGGACTGTAGGTATATAACATGGAAAAAGTGTAAACAAACCATCTTTTAATCATCTCAGATACTTTACTGAGCTCTTACTCTATGTGAGACACTCTAATATACAATGCTATTACAATGGAAGATGACCAATTTCTACCCTCAACTAGCTTCAATCAAGGGTTAAGGATAAGCAGAGAAGGAAGAAGACCAATGGCTTATGATGGAAGATTTTTGGGTGGTAAAATGCATTTGTAAAGGTGTGAACCTATATCCTAGAAACATGTACAATGTTGTAAATCCATGTTACCTTAATAAACAAAGTAATTTTAAAAATAAGGGTTAAGGAAAAGAAGGTATGTCTTTTTAAGAAAATACCATTTCTAATGACATGACTGTAGGAAGCTCAAAATGTACTAAAAATAAGTCAGCTAATGTAATTAGAACTTGTATTTAAAAGATTCCCTAGAAATGATTCCTAAATGGAAGAAATATTGAGTAAAAAGCCCAGAGGGGGCCCTCCCTGGTGGCGCAGCGGGTTAAAGCACTGCACTGAGAAGCTAAAGCCACTTCCGCATGAGTTCGATTCCTGCCTGCACCGGAGGAGACCACATGGCGTGGCAGACCTCTCCTGACCCGTCCGCTGCTCCCCTCAGCAGTGTACTTCCTCGATCTGCCTGTTCTGCTCCCCACTCTGTCTCTGGTGAAGTCTCTCACTGCCCCTGAGTCTCTGGCCTGTACCCCAGTTCTGTATGTACAAATAAATAAATCTTTAAAAAAAAAAAAAAAAGCCCAGAGGAAGGAAATTCAGGAAATAAGAACAGAGGAAGGAAATTCAGGAAATAAGAACATGATAAAACCACAAATTCATGAAAAGAGAGTGTTTTTAGGCAACATAAGATTCTCTATAAGATTCTCTATGACTCATTACGAAATGGACTAGTTTCGACCCTGCAAGAGGTTTGTAAGAATTAAATGAGTAAGTGTGCTTCCACCATGCCTGGCTCAGGCTATGAGCTCAACAGGTAGTAGTACATTCCCTAAGTCAGGTTTTCTCAAAGTATGGAGCCTAAGGACATTATTTATCAGAATCTCCAAATAAGGAAAACCCAAGTGATCTGTATGCACATAATTTTTTTAGAGTAA